GTTTACACCCATTCCTGTCTAACATAGTTTTCTAACATAGTACCCAGCGACAACCTATCAATTTAACAAGAAATGCGTAGACACCCCATGTGAGGACCGGTGAATATCGCATCATGATTTGTGGCGACACATCAATATAACCTGAAACGTGTAAACGCCCATGCCCGTCTAAGGCTTTCCTACGCATCAAACACAGTTTTCTTAATTACTGCTCTCGTTGACCGTCTCGGTCGTTGCGCGTCCTCTTCGTCGTCACCTTCCACTCGTGGTGCAGCGTGGTCATCTTTCTGGTCGTTATCTTGGATCATATCCTCGCCCGAACTCTCCGATCTCATATCTATTACGGAAATGTGTTCGCAAGATCCCTCACCTTTCTTCGTCTCCTATGTTGTTGCCGCCACCTGCTCTGGCGCCACCTTCACGGTCTGGCTTTCAACATCCTGACCCGCATCGGTCTCCATCATTTCAGATATGCCTTGCCTCGCCGCCACTGTCGCGACAAGAGACCCGAAAGATCCAACGATTGTTGCCCCATCGTCGACCCCACGCGTTGGCGGCTCTGTCAATGTGCCCGACTCCATGTCGTCGCCGTCCTTGCGTATCATAGTGGAATCCCGAATTGCGCTTCTCTGTGTGCTTTGTTGAATACATGCTCGCAACTGTTCATTCTGTATGTGACCTGCGTTCGCACGTGTGTCCGTTTCGCAGCCTGCATCCCCTCTGACCATCGCAACGATGGTGTTAGACGCGATGACGTCTTGAGTCTTTAGAGAGGTGATGCTATCGATTCCTTGCACTGCTGACGCTTGTTTGATTTTCCAATCGATGGAGCCGTACGACACACTTGATGCAAGGTCGTAGAACTTTGTGCTGAATTCTAGTTGTTTGTTCGCACGAAGTTGCTCAAACAAAGCTTTCGCCTTTGCCGCTACAGCCACCTCGGTTGCACCGACATTTTCTTGTGCAACCCGCCGAAAAAGTTGCGTCTCCGTCACGCTGTGCCATATCGCAGCGTCCTTTCTTTCCTTCACGACCCACCTGCGGTCTCTTGTCTTCACAGCCATTTGCCACTTGCCCGCAAACACGCACGGTTCCAACACGCCCCCATGCCAGAGAATATGATGACCCCAGTCCTCCTCCGATGACTCCTTGTGCTTGTCTTGCAGCAAGTATGGCACTGAAGGGTCTTGAGCAAAGCCTTGAGGTAACGGTTTTCCTGGCACGAGCTTCGGCATGACTGCTGTCATATCCATATCTTCATCTTTATCTGTGTCCATCGACGAGAGCGTTCACTGCTCGACCTGCGGTGCATGTGTCGATGATGGTCCAGCTGTCGGCGGGGTCATTTCACACCCATTCTCTCCTCCCCCTGTGTTGCCCCGTGAGTTAACAATTCCCTCACTCGCACCCACCGGGTTCATTGGTACACCATTCTTTTCTCCCCTTGCATTCATTCTATGTTCCATGTCTCCCTCACTAGCATGTGTCGCTCCCAAACTCGACCTCGCCTTCTCCGCTTCTGCGTTGGTGCTCCCTCGCGGTTCCTCGACACGTGCTCCCTGCGCCGAACGTCGTGTCGCATGCGACGGAACGTCCAGGTCGGAGTCTGACGTGTCTTTATCACAATTGATGTTGTTGAAGTTCCCCGCTTTACGTGCCAAGTCCGCATAGTCCCTGCATGACAGTGCTCTTTTCTTCATATTGAAATACAAATGCTCACAACGCACTACGAACATGTGGAAAGCACCCATGTGCGATCCGTGGTACTCGTTCATTTTTATCTCGAGTTCACTTTTCCTGATGACGTAGTCGTTATCAACCGCCGTCCGCGGAGCGTCACCGAACAAGTAAGCCCACACTTTCTCCCTCTTCCTGCCAAGCTTATAGTAAATATCCCGGTCCTTGCGGTGCTCGACTTGGGGCTTTTCGAACTTGCATTTGTTCCTCGGATCCTTCACATAAAACTCCAAAAACTTGGAAAGGTATGTGAGCTCTTTTGTCGTGTCGTCACACGCAAACACGTGRTGTCCGGYGCKAGCGAGTTCCCAAATCAGTCCCGCATGCGCCCTGCCCAACAGCATCACGCCATCGTCCTCCCTGATGAACGAGCTGCACAGTTTTCGGAGACGTGCTGGCTCTCGTTCCATCCAAGAATAAACCGCGTCGGTGTCGCCCTCCACGCCGATACACTCCCCTAGCACCTCACAAATTCACCCTCTTCAACGTTCAAATTTGTCAACTCGGCTCGCACTTTTGACGCAACCGTTATATTGTCCAAATTGTCGTTCTCGGCGTGGAGGACAATAGCCATCATGTCAGTGTACCGAACTGCAATGTTGCCGTACTTGTTCAAGGTTGTCGAAGGTGTATAGTGTCTGTACCATGACCCTGTGAGCACCTCAACATCATCCCAGTTGTACACACTCTGCATCACCTGTTTCTGGTGTTTCATCGGCGCGAAAATGATCAAGGCCTAGTTTTTGCCACAGTATGTCATGAGGAAAGCGTACAGTTTGGAAAAGGCGTCATCATCCCACGAAACACATTTCGGTGATGTTGACATATCAAGAATGGTTGCTCGTATCTTCATCCCCCTCGCCGTACCAACAACCTCCTCGTTGTCCGTGAGCACTCCCTTCGGTTCTGTTTCAAATGGCAGGATCGTGGTAATCCTCTTCCCCACTTCCCAAAATATGTGACAAGCACTAGAGGATATCCGATTAACCTCCGCTCTCAGGTCGTCCAAGCAGTCGATTGGCTCGTAGATGAAACACTTGAGGTGGAACGGGGTTTCCTTGTACATGCCTTGGGTTGCCTCTAGTCCCGCACCGTTCTCACCATTAATCTCATCAGGACCGCCCAAACGCCTCGGCACCTTCCTCGCCTTGTCGTCAGGGATGTGGTCGCGTTCCTCGGTCCATTTCTCGTCCGTCAGACCGTTTTTGCTGTACCTCTCCAAGATGGTCGTATAACCGATGAAAAAGTCAGCGCTCCACTCTTCTTTTGACCTCCCCTCGGCCTTGAACAATATGTAGTTGAACATACGGACCATATATCTTTCACGCCGAGTATATTTAACCAGGTCCGCCATGTTGCATCTACCACGAGGTACCGAACGTGATGTCACGATGACATCACCACGCATCATGTGGTGAAGTACCACTTGCTTCTCTCTCGCTGTCATATCGCCGAACAGCTTGAAGATTGTCGGCGTCAAGTCAGGTATAGACACCGTTGCGCCTTGTGGCCCCTTCCTGGCCTTGATGCAGTGGAACAAGACTTTTTTGCCGGAGTTGTCCTTGAGGAAGTATTGCCCAGGCAACCTCCCTTCCACTTTCCTCGGCAGGTCGATGTATCTCACACCATCGACTCGCGGCAATAGCCCCTTCTCGTACATGTCAAAGAATTTATGTACTAGTGGCCATACTGTTTCACCGCATTGTGCAAGATTCATGTATCCGCGCATCTTGTTCGTCCAGTCCTTGCAGTAGTCGTTCTCCAGGGACGAGTTCATGAGACCGGAATCAGGTGTCATTTTGCAGGCGGCGTTCATGAACTCTTCCCATTTATTTTTCCGTTTCATTCCCTCGACATCATTCGGGAACACGGTCCCTGGCGGACGGATCCGGCCATTCCTCTTATCCCAAAATGTTCTAATTTGGCGCACAGATGGCGAAAACGATCTCGGGATCGAATGCTCCTCCCTCGTGTTATCGAACGTCGAGACGTATGGATATCCTCTGTTTCTGTCATCGTTAAAGTAGACAACACGTACGTGAGAGTACGACCTCAAGTCATACACTTTCTCGGCCGGTGACTTGTCTTTAATGAGTCTGTTCATTGCCTCAGCCGTGTGCTGGCCAGCAACAGCATACCAGTTGTATGTATGAGCCAGTTCGACGTCGAATTGCTCCGGTGTGATCCGTCTGCCTTGAGACCCGTCCGTGTTGGGCACAATGGGAGCCAAGATGAAAGTCATGAAATCCCACTTCCCGTTGGTTTCCTTGGCCGCATGATGGATCGCATCATAAATGGACTGCACCAACGTTTCGTCCAACGTTCTATTGTTGAAGAGGATGTCACCTTCAGGGATTGGCAAGATCTTCGTGACGTCCACTTCAATGTGTTCCCTTTTCTTCTTTGCAAACCCATCTTCATCGAACTCCAAGAAGAAGCACCGTGTTGTGTCGATGGCTTCATCACGGGTGTCGGCGGAAGGTTGTGTCTGTTCCGAGACATCTCTTGGAGGAACCCCTTCGGCATCTTTTCCAGAGTCACCCTCATCCACCATCTGCTTTCTTTTCGGTGGACGTTTCTCCGCTTTTGTCGTCCTTATCGACGCGGACCCTTTTCGTTTCTTCACGCTTTTAGTGACCGCCTCTTGAGAAGCTTTGAGCGCCTGTCGAGATGCATCGACAGTGAGTTTCTTCGCAGCGCGCTTATCTGCCGCCGCCGTTGGACTTGTTGAAGATTGTCGCTTCCTTTTCTGGACACAGGCCTCCAACCGCTCTCCTGTTGCGTCGTCGACCCCCACATTAGCCGACCGCTCTTGCCGTCCATCGTCATCACCTACAGGATAGGCATGATCGTTTTCTCCATCGCCCCCGTCGTCCTCCTCATAGTATTGTTGAGACTCCCCACCCTCGCAGTCGTGCATAGTTTCCACACGATCCTCTCTCTCTCTCTCCCTCTCGCTCATCGACACCACATTCCTCGTCGCATGATTACCCTGTGGATGTCGATCAACACATACCCTAGAATTGTCCTCCGTTTCCTCGTCCGATCCTTCGCTTATCTCCCGCAGCGCCGCCTTCCTGGACGCACCACCTTCGTCCTTCTCGCAACTGGGAGAGGGACGAGTTGCAAGGGCCTTCCTTTTGTATGTGATGACAGGGATGCCTTGGTCTTGCCGGCTGGACGGTTGAGACGGTCCAACACACTCCATCCGGCGGGACGAACCCACAGAAGGACCATGCTCATCCTCGCCTGGTGGACGACGCGGTTGGCTCTGTTTGTTGAGGCGCCGGCCCCCACTCGCTGACGTCTGTTGCGTTGGAAAACTATGTGGCGTCCTCTGTCTCTCTATCATTGCTATACCGGAAAGATCCTCATCCAGCGTGTCAAAAGGCACGAATGTCGGGGACATACGATGGTCGGCCTCAACCGTGGGACTGTTTCTGGATCTCCTGTAGCCGTTCGTTTTGGCGAGGAATTTAACGGGGCCAAGCATCGTCAACACACTCCCGTCTTCTTTCGGGGACACATCGAAGGCTTTCATGGTAATAGCCTTACCGCCATACCCCTTGAACAGATTGTAATCAAGGCTTACTTTACGGTCGGCCTTCGCATGGTCCACTCCTTGTTCGTCGAACACCGTTGTGAGGAGAAACCTCCTGAAATTCCGTCCGTGCCCGTCCACCCTCTCATCCTCGGATTTAATAATCCCTCCAACACAAAACCAGTCGTCACCCGAGGCGTTCTTCAGAAACACAGCGGCCCCACATCCCGCCTCGTGTAGCACCCCCACCCAGTCAAGGGCCCACTCCCTATCTCTATAGATTGTGCACGTGTTGTAGACTCTCTTTTCTGGGACAGCAGATGCTCCTCCTGATGGCAGGCACATTCCAAACGAAGGAATGGATCGCATTCAGATTTCAAACCTTCCACCACCGCCTCACGTGAGTCGCCGACGCATTCGAGCGTCGCATGGTATAGGGCGTTCTGAAAACTCCCTACCCCGTCCAGTTCCGCGAGGGGGCACGGCGTTTCGAAAACGCCACACCCCGTCCGGTCATCGGAGACGAGAGGGAGCGGTGATACAGCGATCTCGAAGCGCCGCACCCGTCGGCCCTGTCCACCTACGGGGCCGGGCTACGGCGTTCTGGGAACGCCATGCGGCACACCTCCCTATCATCTCTGAGAACTGGAGGGAGCACGGTGTTTCGAGACCGCCGTACCCCCGCTCCCACCCCCACCGAGAACCGGAGGGGGTACGGCGTTTCCGAAACGCCGAACCCCCTGGACCCTGTTCACATACAGGGCAGAGGGGGCACGGCGTTTCGAGAACGCCTTACCCCCGCTCCCACCCCCCACCGGGAAGCGGAGGGGGTACGGCGTTTTCGAAATGCCGCACCCCCTCGACCCTGCTCACATACAGGGGCGATGGGGTAAGGCGTTTTGGAAACGCAGTTCCCCCTTCGGTTGCCGGGTGGGGGCGGGAGTGGGGGTACGGCGTTTCGAGAACGCCGCACCCCCCCTCCCACCCCCACCGAGAACCGGAGGGGGTACGGCGTTTTCGAAACGCCGTACCCCCTCGACCCTGTTCATGTACAGGGCCGAGGGGGTACGGCGTTTTCAAAATGCCGCACCCCCATTGGTTGCCGGGAGGCGAAAGGAGCGGGGGTGCGGCGTTTCGAGAACGCCGCACTCCCGCTCCCACCCCCACCGAGAACTGGAAGGGGGTACGGCGTTTTCGAAACGTCGTACCCCCTCGACCCTGTTCACGTACAGGGCCGAGAGGGTACGGCGTTTTCAAAACGCCGCACCCCCATCGGTTGCCGGGAGGCGAAAGGAGCGGGGGCACGGCGTTTCGAGAACGCCGTACCCCCGCTCCCAACCCCCTCCGAAAACCGGAGGGGGTACGGCGTTTTGAAAACGCCGTACCCCCTTCGGTAGCCGGGAGGCGAAAGGAGNGCCGTACCCCCGCTCCCAACCCCCTCCGAAAACCGGAGGGGGTACGGCGTTTTGAAAACGCCGTACCCCCTTCGGTAGCCGGGAGGCGAAAGGAGCGGGGGTACGGCGTTTCGAGAATGCCGTACCCCCGCTCCCAACCCCCTCCGAAAACCGGAGGGGGTACGGCGTTTACAAAACTCGTTACCCCCTCGACCCTGTTCACATACAGGGCCGAGGGGGTACGGCGTTTTGAAAACGCCGTACCCCCTTCGGTAGCCGTGAGGCGAAAGGAGCGGGGGTACGGCGTTTCGAGAACGCCGTACCCCCGCTCCCACCCACACCGCGAACCGGAGGTGGTACGGCATTTTCGAAACGCCGTACCCCCTCGACCCTGTTCACATACAGGGCCGAGGGGGTACGGCGTTTTGAAAACGCCGTACCCCCTCCACCCTGTTCACATATAGGGCCGAAGGGGTACGGCGTTTTCAAAACGCCGTATCCCCTCGACCCTGTTCACATACAGGGCCGAGGGGGTACCGCGTTTCGAGAATGCCGTACAC